AAACCACAGCTTGTCATAGGTCCTGGTAGAGGAGGAGAAAGAAAGTCATAGTTTAGAAAGTCACAGAAGGGAATGATTGTAGAATAGATGTTTTTGGCGGGGTGGTGGTGGTGATATGACGCTTTTGCAATCCATTATATATCTGTTACCTCTTAACAATGAGAGTTATACTATGGCAGAAATCATCTACACTTTCAGTTTTTGCCTCTATACACACACACACACGCCATCACTTGTATCATAAAAATGTTAGTATTGACAAGTTTATAAAGGATCATTTCTTTCTCTCCTCTACATTCAGCCAACGATGTCTCCCCAATCTCTTAAACGGGTCCTTGCACAATGTAGATTGGGGTGAAGAGGGTTAGGATACTTATTTTCTACAAAGTCCTGTGAATTACTGGGATCTTGAAATTGAAATGTCATTTGGGAGGATGCTCGCTGCATCCCATCCTACATTATTTATCATGGCTTCCAGAGAGACATTTTAGGGCAATCCACTGTGGATATGAAACTTCTTTAAGTCGGGTAATGTATGTCATAATCCAAACACATGATTCATAACTAGGCTAGTTTACAGATCTGAGAAGTGTATACCAGGCATCCTCAAACTGTGGCCCTCCAGCTATTTGGGCCTCCAACTCCCAGAAGCCCTAACAATCTTGTTCAATTGTCATGAATTCTGGGAGTTGAAGGCCCAAACAGCTGAAGGGCTGTAGTTTGAGGATGCCTGGTCTATACTTTTCTGTGCTCCTGGTTTTCGGCATAAGAACATGATGGTTCATAGCATCAACATGAATGTTTGTCTGGGCAAATCTTGAGGAATGCTCCCAAAAACAGTGTTGAAGGGAAATAGGGATTCTCCCTCCCCCTTGCCGCATTCTTCTGAAGGTTTCATGAAATTTTCCAAACTTTCAAACCTATTGGAGTTCAACAAAGCAAATTGTGCTTTATAGACCACTGGTTAGCAGACATACATCTGCTAATCAGAAATATAGATGCTTAATCATATCCTGTGTGAAACATGCACACAGCGACACAAGTATTTCAGAATCCAGCATATTCTAAATCTGTTTTTACATTAAGGGGCATAGTGAGACAAAACAAGTCTTCACTTTCCTCTCACACTTGATCATGGAGTGCTGTGTTTCTATGAATCACCCATGTGGAATTTGCTTGTCCTGCTGTCCCTCAAATGTGAGGAATGTGCATAGAAGTCTCTGATTTTATCCACACTTTGCAAAGCACAGAGAAAGTAAATGCCAATTACTGTGCTTTTGTTGTTTCCCTTTCCTCAATTTTCCTTGGTTTTTTTTTAAAAAAGCTTATGTGAAAAAGCTTACTGGCTTTTGGTGAGGGGGATTGTCTGTAGCATGACAGAAAATCTGACTTATAATGAGACATGTCTTCTGTGTTCTCTTTCATTATTTAATCAAGTGTAATAGATCAACTGTATGTTTCCTCTAGCCAGAGTTTGGAGAAGTTACTTTTATGATCTTCTACTCAACTTTCAGGTCTACTGTGGATAGGAGGAGAAATCTGAACATTGGTCAGATTCATAGCAGAATCACTATTTGTCAAGATAATAGCTGTTTCATGCATCCTCCATGTTCTGCCTCCTCATATTTTGCCAGTTGCTGAAGAAGAATTGTGGGAGGAGGACATTGCCTTCATGTACTACTTGTAGGTTATCTAACAAACTATAATTTCCAAAATCCTCAGTTCCTCATGCCCAGCAGCCATACAGCTTAGAGGATGCTGGGTGCTGTAGTTCTAACAGGTAATTTCCCTGAGCATGACCTCAGACTACTGTGGCAAATGAAATGTTGGATAAAATACACATTTTGGTTTGATTTGTAAAGGGCTTGCTTATAGTATAGAAAGTAGAGTCTTCATCGCTATTCAAGCCCAGTGAGCCTTTTCACATGGTCCCAGCATTTTCTTTAGTCCTTCAGGTGGCAGGCAGTGGGCGACATGAGCTGTCAGCATAGTCTGGAAAGGATTGGGAATGATGGCCTGGCCTAATGCCCGGCATGATGTTGTGCCAAAGAGCAGGCTGGCTGCTGAGAACAGGTGGGCTGGAAACAGTGATCTGCCTTGATGTTTTGATCATAATAAAGGCTGGAAAGAGAAAGTTTTTTTCCAAGTGTCTTTGTGGCAAGCAAGAGGGCTGGCTGCTCCTTGAAGAAGGAAATTGTGTTGCTGAATCGTGCTCTTGTAGCAAATCATGTTTTTATTTAGCTGAATATAAGTGGCAAGCGTCCTTCCAACCTTCCACACAATGGAATTGGGAAGGCGAGGAGCAGACGGTGATGGAGGCATGATAAGACTGAGAGTGAGGACAGGGCATCTTGTGACACTGGGACTTTAGTAGGGTCTGGGAGCCCCTCAAGAATGCAGTGCATCTACTGACCAATAAGAAACCATAAGCCTCTACCTTCCTTTTTCCTGGGGAAAATGCTTTGCCTGATGCTAACCTTATGTTTGCAGGAGGATAAAATGGAGGAGAACATTCAAGAATGTGATTCTCCACATGCAAAAACTATTTAGTCTATTCCAGGCATCTTGATATTTTGCTACCTTTAGATCTAAAAGGGGAGCGCAGACAATTCATTTCTTTCACATGTTATAGCTCTATATTTTGGGCACACTGGCTTAACATAACACAAGAAAGAATTCTTTCTATCGCCTAACTTGTTCTTGATTACTTCCAAGATGGATTTGTATTTTATTTTATTTTACTATTTTCCCCTCAGGGGAAGATAATAATTGTGCCATCTTATGGCGTAGTCAAGAGTTCGTTTTGTTAGTATTTTGGAACAAGCGATCTCTGGCCAATCTGCGAATAAACTATCCCAGCTCCACTCCAATCATGGCAGAACAGCTGTGGCAAGATATGCCATGGTATTCATGGTATACCGGGTATCATAACAGTAACACAGCTGCTGTTTGAGGTCTCCACCAGCAGCGTGGCACTTAACTCCCATCTCTATCTATCTATCTGAAATTAGTTTTATAATCCCTTAGTTTGTAACATTATGTGATCATATAATTTTTTAATTTAAAAATATTTCATAAAACCCTAGAAATTATCATCTGAAGTGTGAAATTCACCGCTTCATGGCAGAACTGATCTGAATATGTGTCAGGACAGGGAAAATGCTATTCATATCTAAGAATCGGTTTTTCCCATACATGGGTGCTGCTCTTTGTGGACTCTGATTTTATTCTTCGGTAAATATTGGATTAAAAAATAAACCATGTTATTCACATTCTTGAACAGTAGAATGTAGTACCTAATCTTCCAAGGATATGTTTCTGAAAAGATAAGAACGCAGTCTTAGATAATCCGACAGCACTTGAAGACAAGATGAGATCTCAAAAAAAAACTATTGCTTCTAAAATAAGTACATTGGAAGTATATATAAGGTAACCAGCGTATCAGGCAGTTAGGCCCTGGACATCATGAGAATCTGGGGCTGGCTGGGTGGATCAAGCAGCTGTGCATTCCTGGAGCTTTCTTTGTGCCGGTGTCTCCTGTCTAAAGCTCCCCTACGCATTTGTAGAATATACAACTTGAATATATGCAGCTCTAGAAAAAATTATGCTATAACAAAGTGTTTCCTGAGCAGCACTTGTCAGTATGGATAAAGGATTTATTGTAAATGAGAGATTAAAGTCAGAGGCACAGCTAAAGCCAAACTACTGGATGAGGTCCAGATCTCTGCAGCCTGAAGGGCCCCCAGATGCAATGGTCACATGTATCTCTTTTTTACAAAAGCATTCAGGCAAGGATACATGACTTCATCTTCTCCTGTCTCTCTGGTACTTTTCACACTTACAAGGCATCTTTTCTTCCTTGAAGTCATGCTTGGCATCTTCCTTTCTCTAAAAAGCATCCAAGTGGCTTCATGTTGGCTCCTTTGAGACATGATGGAGACATTAAGATCTCTACGTGTTTATGCTTTCCTTTCCTCCCCCCCCCCCAACTGCATATTTCCTCAAATGAAAAAAGGCAAAGTAAAAAAATGAAAAAATGTTTTTACCTTGTGGTAAGTGCATGAAAATGAGTGAGGGAGTGGGCTATATAGTGTTCAGGAAATGAAGGAGGAGGCTTATTGGCTTCAGAAGGTATTTTCCCCAGGATCCTCTCCATCTCAACAGCACCACTAATTAGAGGTATAGTTGTTCTGAGAATGTATTCCATCTTATTTTCGTCATTCAGTTGCCTGTAACTTGTTATGTTACCGTTTGGAGTCCTCTTCGGGGTGAGAAGGGCAGCATATAAATGTCGTAAATAAATATTGAGCACAGTTTTACTACTGTCTTGAATTGTTTATCAGTATATAGATAGGCCACTAGGCTTCATGGCTGGTAGATATTTTATAGTTCTGTGTATCTGTTTGTAAGAGGAGACTAAAAATAGTGCATAGTACAAATGCTTGAGGATGGCAGTTGGTAAGACTGCAATAGATACTTTATATAAATCTCAACCATGAAAATATATGGTTCCAAGCACTTGCATGTATTGTTATAAGACAATTTGGAGAGGTAGTACCTAAATAGTTTCCATGCTGGAAAACCTGAGAAATCTTTTCTCTCTCATCTAACCCAGATGACCAAGAGATTGGATTTACTCATCCCAAATATTACTTACAAATTTATCTTCTATTTGAAATGCAATCTATTTATTTACATGGAGCAGAGTATCCAAGATTGTATATCCAATGACAGAACAATACAATCTAGCAGAGTCGGGAAAAAGAGGAGTCACCTCTTTGTCATGCAGGCCTCTATCAACCCGCAAACCGGGCCCAGAGGGCCAGGGAGCCATGTGGAACCGGATTTCAGGAAGCAGCAAGCATTGAAGAAATGTGATTTATATTCCACATCTCCAGCATAAATTCATGTTCTTAATGATTAAATTATATGATTAAATTAAAGCATAATGATTATAGGTAGTCAACAAAAATGTACTTAATTTTTATTTCCTTCTAAAGATAAAGACACAAATAGTACTGTGAAAGATAATACAGATGAATTCAGTCTGCGTGATACATTGAGCATTGGATCAACAGATTCATTTGTTTCAGCTGCAGAGGTAAGTTGAACCAGTGTCCCCTGGTTTATTGCATAGTCGTAATATCTCTGAAGTCTTGTAGGTGAATCAGTGCCCTCTACTAATTAGTCATTATTGATCTCTGAGGGAAATGGTCTGAAAGATTTTTGGGAATCAGAACTGTAAGGCTCAAAAATAACCCTCACTTGGGGTAATTCCACCATAAATATAGCAGAGTGCTAGAAGCAAACTTCATAACCAGCAGAAACTTATATGTGGTGAGTCAGGATTAGTATGGTACAGGATTGGAGAGACAGGTGCAAAATATTTATTCAAGAAAAGAAATACATTCTAGATAGAAGAGGTCTTGGAGCCAACTAGCTTGCTAAAACTCATATTCTAAGGAAGGTAAAAGGATAAAAAGTCAAAATGTCCATGGAGTTACATTTCGCCTGGAGAGAAGCAAAATGCGTCCTCACTGGGAGACAAAGGCAAAAAGAGAGCGCCAACAATGGAGAAAGACCACATGGCCAAAACCCAGGGCAATAAAAATACCTTTAGGGAGGAAGTTACCTCATACCTCACAGAGATTCCATTGCTTCATCTTCAATATGGGGGGAGATTGTGGCAAGCCAGAAAAGTAAAGAGAAAGGCCCCTTTTGGGATAAACATGCAAAGGAATGTGGGGGGAAGAATCCCTCACTCTAATCCTATCTAAAGCCTAGCCACTCATTGAGGTTTGGAAACTTTATGACTTGTGCAACCCAGGGATAAAACCCAACAAAGATAGGTTTCATCCCTTTAATGATGTTTGTTTAAAAGTGTGAATTCATCAGATATAATGAAATAGTTATAGGTACAGTAGAGTCTCGCTTATTCAACCTTCACTCATCCAGCGTTCTGCATTATCCAATGCAGTCTGCCTCCAGCCCGGATCCAAAGCTATTTCAATACATTTATTTATTTATTTATTTATTTATTTCATTCACTTATACCCCGCCCTTCTCACCCCTAGGGGGACTCAGGGCGGCTTACATAAAGGGCACAATTAGATGCCCAAATCACACAACAAGTAATCCAAAAAATATAAAATTCAGCAGTTAAGTTAAAAACAACAATACATAATAAAACATAATCCTAAAAACAATCTCATGTCAGAGTCCATATGTCAGAGTCCATACATCCGTTCTATTCCATTTGTCCTTGTCTGTCACCGGTCCTTGATTTAATTATCAGATTTAATTATATTTATTTAATTATCATTGCAATTATTATAAAGGGTTTATTGTACTGTGTTTAAACTGTATTTATGTTTTACATGCGTGGCCATGGCCTAGCTGTGAGAGATAGGTTGCCATGGTGACAAGGCAGAGGAGAAGGTGGGCGGAGCTTAAGGAGAAAAAGGTTTGAAAGTAACAGTTAATGGGTAGTCAGGAGGATGAGACCCTGAGAAGAGGAGCGGAGTCAGTTAGGGCTCTGTGTGGTGAAGCAGTATAGATTCAGTTAGTTCTTAGCATTTGTGAATATTTCTTCAGCAAGGGAGCTGAAGGTGAAACCTTGTTAGATTGCAAAAATGTAAGGAAGCGTAATCCCACCTAAATGGGATTACCAAAATTAAATAAATATGTATGTTAATCCACCTAATTTCAACCTAAATTATAAGGAAGTCCCAAAATTGCTTGATTACACTGCCACCATTATATATATAGAGAGAGACGTTGGAATTGAAGTCTCTATTTATCCCTATCTGCGTTGTGAGGCAACTTTGGTAGAGTGGATTGCACCAAATGTAAAATCAATGGAGGAGGCAGATTTATAACACAGAGAGAACAAGTTTATTGTTAACAGAGCGTAATTGTTGCAATACTGAGATGTTGAACTTGGCACAAGCTTGATGGTTACAATATGGCTTGGTAGAGATACATTCAGGTTTCTGATGTTACAATCCTTTAAACTCCTTCTTCAGTGAAGTACTTTATTATTTCAGTGTTCCCTGTTGTGAATATTCACTCTGTTTGTCCTATACCGGATCAAACCACCGATCTCCAGTCTTTCACTACTGGGATCCCTAAAACCCCCTTTGTTAGATTCTTTTTAACACAAGCAATCTAACAAGGTTTCACCTTCAGCTCCCTTGCTGAAGAAATATTCACATATGCTAAGAACTAACTGAATCTATACTGCTTCACCACACAGATAATTAAATTTATTACATTGCAATGTTTTGGTGCTAAATTCATAAATACAGTAATTACTACATAACATTACCGTGTATTGAACTGTTTTTTCTGTCCATTTGTTGTAAAAATGATGTTTTGGTGCTTAATTTGTAAAATCATAACATAATTTGACATTTAATAGGCTTTTCCTTAATCCCTCCTTATTATCCAACATTTTTCGCTTATCCAACGTTTTGCCGGCCTGTTTATGTTGGATAAGCAAGACTTTACTGTACATAAATGACAGGCTCTTTCTTCCCAAGTTTCCTGGTTTGGAAGCATACAATACATTAAACTGGGATAAAGTGATAGACTGTGAGAGTTCTCACAAAGAGGTGGTTCTCAACCTGTGGGTCCCCAGGTGTTTTGGCGTACAACTCCCAGAAATCCCAGCCAGTTTACCAGCTGTTAGGATTTCTGGGAGTTGAAAGCCAAAACATCTAGGGACCCACAAGTTGAGAACCATTGTCATAAAGTCACTGAAAATGCAACGTGACTAATTGGCATCTCATGTTGATGACGAGCTAAATAAGTGTATCTTGAGTAGAATGGGATGTTTTGGAAACTCGAAGGTATCACACTACTGATATCGTAGGCCCTAATTAACTAGAAAATATATTCTTAGTCTGGGACAGCTGTATGTTAGATTTCATCTGTCATCTAGTCCGCAGAATAGTAGTTTTAGTGCTTCTCTGATGGTGAAGGGAGAGCTGTGATGGAAGATAACGATTATGTTGTATTCCTCAGTTTTCTGTTTCTGTCTGAATCACTGAGGAGAAACCTATGTTCATAATAGGAATCCTGTGTTGAAATGTTAAGGGATTTGATAGGCAAGGCTGATTAATTAAATCTAATGTAGAAGGAGTTTAGATGCAACAAGAGGCAGCATGAAACACTTTCTACAAGAGACATGTTGGCACCCTTTTGCTGGATACTACTTAACAAATGCAGAGGAAGTAATTTTGAAAAGAAACCAGAGTAGCTAGTTTGTCCAACATCTCAAACCATTCTATTATTGGGTTTGCAAAGACTGAGTCTCAAGAGATTTAAACATCAGAGTCTTATACCTGACTAATGCTTCCCCTCAACCATTATTTTGATGGATGCTTTCCATAGAGATTATTAGTTCGCTTGTTTTACATTTCAGTGTAAATTGGACCAATTCTCACTTTCTGAATTTTAAAGATGGACAGGAATTCAGTTGGCCATCAAATTATATAACATTTCTGAAGTCTGTGAAACAAATGCACATATATGTGAACACAGAATGTACTAAAATGAATATATTTGAGAAAAATGTTGTGCAAAAATACATAAATAACTTTTTAAAAAATGAACATAAATTCCGTATTGCTAACAATGGATATGTTTGCCAAAGTATATAAAAAGACCACACTTTAAAGATGTGACAAAATGAGATGTTTTTCTAAAAAAATTGACAAAAACCCTAAACAAATGTGATTTTTTTTAAAGTGAAAATTTAAGTTTTTGACTTGAGAGCATGTGTTTCTTAATATGATTGTTGCATGTAAATCACTCTCGAAATAATTGGTGTTGGTGCTTCAGGACACTTCTGCTAACAAATTTTAAATGGGAGTCTGAGACACCAATGGCAGTGGTTTTCTGATTTTTTTAAATCAGTTTCGTAGGTGTAGATTGTATGGAATGTAAAAAAATTGTAAACACATAATGTGACTAATGTAAAATTCCTTGAGAAAATGCTGACTTATGAAGAATATATAGTGTTTCTTTAAAGTGACTTAACCCATTTAGTTGTACTTACCCCCACAGTGTTTCTACCTTTGTTTGATGTGATTGTTAAGTCTCCTATTTCTTTAAACATTCAACATATAGCTGGGCTCCACTGGAATGATATGGAATGAAATGTGGCCTATCTCAGTTTTCTTCTCGTTCATGATCAGGAACTTGAAGTGCTATATGTTCTTACTCCTTCATTCTCAATCTGTCCTTTGGTAAAATATAAGACTACAGCTTGTAAGTAATTCCCCTCCACATACAGAGACAGGAATTACTTGCCTTGGCTTTTCTGGAATGTGCCACAAAAGCACTTAAAGCATTCTTAAGAGTTCAGCTGTTGTTAAACAGTGGCAAGACTACAACCAAGTGTGTCAATGTCATTTTTCTTTTACATGTCTCAAGAAAGAAATATTGATCTCCAGTTTAAGTTGATACTGGTACCAAGTGATTGTCTTTAAAAGTCTCCTTTTCTAGCTTACAGAACACAAAGAGAGCCGTAACTCTTATAATCTGGATTCCTTTTGCCATTGCCCATTATATGAAGAAGCTATGCACTTGGCAGAAGAGGGCAAGATTTATTCGCGAATTTTACGGTACCATTTTATTATCCTAATATTAACTGTGAATATTCTAAAATGTGAACTGACCTTGAACCTTCCTAGTCATGCTGGACTCAAAGTACAACTCTTCCATTCTGTTTTAAATGTTTGGTTTTTTAAAAAAGCAATTTACTATGCTTTTATGTGTGTAGGACTGAAATATTGGAGTGTTTGGGAGACAGCGATTTTCTTGCTAAGCTTCACTGTATCCGGCAAGCTTTTCAGGTACAAAGTCCACTTTTGAGATAAAAATTGTTTTTTCAGGTTGATATAATCTTTCTCAACTGTGGGCATGCAGGTATTAGACTACCACACCCATCGCCCACAATATGGCTACGGTAGCTGGAAATTATGAAGCATGTGGTCCAACAACAATCAGGAGAGAAATTGGGAAAGAGTGATCTAGAATGCCCTGTCTTTTATTTTAACTAATGCATTGGTGAAACTCAGGATCCCTTAATGGTCCAGTGGGTTAAACTGCTGAGCAGCTTACCGAAAGGTCACAGGTTCTAATTCGGGGAGCGGCTGAGCTCCCACTTTTAGCTCCAGCTTCTGCCAACCTAGCGGTTCGAAAACATGCAAATGAGTAGATCAAAAGGTACTGCTCCGGCGGGAAGGTAACGGCGCTCCATGCAGTCATGTCGCCCACATGACGTTGGAGGTGTCTACAGACAACGCTGGCTCTTCGGCTTAGAAATGGAGATGAACACCAACTCTCAGAGTCGGACACAACTGGACTTAATGTCAGGGGAAAACCTTTACCTATTAGTGAAACTCATGAAGGTATCCTAGTTAAATCAGATAATGTGACTGGGGACAGTCCAATTGCTTAAGCAAGTGTTGTGGTCTTTGCAAGACATACTTCATAAAACCAACTCTTTGACGGAGTCATGTAACTCCTTGGGACAGCTTCTTACTGTATTATTTGTAAAATCATAAACTCGCACCATTGAAAGAGCCTACATGGGCCATCCAGTCCAACCTCTTGCCATGCAGGAGCATACCATTGAAGCACTCCCAACAGATGGCCATCCAACTTCATTTAAAAACTTCCAGAGAAGGAAACTCCATCACACTCGAAAGCAGATGGATTCATTGATGAATAGCTCTTACTGTCAAGAAGTTTTTCTTAATGTATAAGACGAATCTCTTTTCCTGTACTTTGAATCCATTACTCTGTGTCGTCATCTCAGTAGAAAACTAGGTTGTTTCCTCCTCAGTATGACATCCTTCCAGATTTTAAAAAATGTCTACCATGTTCCCTCTTAACCTTCTCTTCCCCAGGTTAAATGTGCCCTACTCCCTAAACTGCTCCTCGTAGCACATGGTTTCCAAATATTTACTCTTTTGATATTAAGCACAATTGCCTTTAAACCTTATTGTTAACCATGCTTTGCTACCCTGAATACCATACAGCTGAATTGCAATGATAATCCCTAAATTAAATGTTTCATGGCTGATAGACATAGGATGGGATTCCCAGAAAATATATACTTCTGGCATTCTAAGACATTCCTGACTGTTAGGAATGGTAGAAGTTGAAGTCCAAAACACCCGGAGGGCTGAAGTTTTCCCATGCCTTCCCACCCAATACACTACCCATCTCAACAGAGATCAGCTCAGTCCTTTTTAAATTATTCAGGAAATATTTGATAATATGTAAGGGGCTGTTGGAGTGTGTCTGATTGATAATATTCTTTATGAAATGTTTAAAACAGACAAAATTAGGACTTTTTCCGTCTCCATCTTTCCCAAGGAAACCTATATACAGATAAGGATGGAGGTGCCAGTAACAGCAACTTTGTAGGCTGTTTTCACAGATTTTAAGGATGGGAGATTGGTACTCTGTCCTCCTTGCTAATATACACGTATTTGGGAAATGGCAGAATCTCAGGGAGAATTGACTGAAAGTGATCTTAGTATGGTATGGGCCAGGCGTGAAGTGATCTTATGCATTTGGCTTCTGATGAGTTTAGATGTGGGTCAGGGATTTGAAATGCATTGCTTTATAATGCTGGTGATTTTTTCCCCAGATTATCCTTTCAGACACTGCAAATCGAGTATTTCTTGCAGAAAGTGGTAGAAAAATTCTGTGTGCTTTAATTGCAAGAGCAAGAAAGGTAAACCACATTTCTTTTAATAATTTATATTTAATGTACTGTATATTCCAGGGTAATAGACGACTTTTTAGGCATGTAAAACCTTATAAAATTTTGGGGGTCATCTAGTACGCCGGGTATAAAATTAAAATATAATTTTATACGCCGGGTATAAAATTAAAATTACATACTATGTCTGCCTTGGCTTCGGGCTCCCTTCCTCCTCCTCCGCCTTGGCTCATGGTGGCCTCCTGGGCAGGCTCCCCGTCCTTCCTCTCTTCCTGGCTGCCTTCCTTGCTCAGGCCCAGGCCTCTCCTTTGTTGGAGGCCAGGTCCCTGGGCTGCTTCCCATGCTGCTCAGGCCACTCTCCTTCCTGTCCAGGCCTCGCGAGAAGCGCCTCTTCTCCAGCAAGACAACATTGTCTCGCAGGACAAGAGGCGCTTCGCGCAAGGCCTGGCCAGGAAGAAGCAGAGTGGCCTGATCAGAAGGGCCTCCGGCGCTGCTCAGGCTGCTCTCCTTCCTCCAGGACAGGCCTCGCGAGAAGCGCCTCTTCTCCCACAAGACAATGTTGTCTCACGGGAGAAGAGGCGCTTCACGTGAGGCCTGGCCAGGAAGAAGGAGAGCGGCCTGAGCAGCGCCGGAGGCCCTTCTGAAGGCGGTGCAGGAAGCAGCTCAGAGGCACGAGGACAGAAACCACCTGGCTGGTTTGGGGAATCGTCTTAAATGGCGAGTATATCCCCAACTCTCTATTTTGTATGTAAAAGTTGGGGGGTCATCTTATAGCACCAGTCATCTAGTACCCCGGAATTTACGGTATATATCTATTGTGTCACTCTATCTTTCTTACCGGATTACTAAACATATACAGTAAAAAAAAATTAGATTTTGTTAATGTTTAAAAAGGAATGTTTAAGTTTTATGTGTAACCCAAATGGAGATGGAACAAGTATTCTCATTTTCAATTTAGAGAAATAAATATGAAATATGATAAATTGTTTTTACAAATACAAAGTAGGTCTGTGTCTAGCAGATGTGTTTGGTATTAGTTCTTAGACACAGATGTTGATGAAGGCCCATATGTTTAGTGATTCCAGTTTAAGGAGCTAGTCAAATTGAAGCCTTGACTTAAGAGCTTAATTTGGTCTGTGACTGAGTTCTTATCTCAAAACACTCTTATCTCAAAGCAAATTTCCCATTGAAATGCTATTAATCCATTCTGACCTCCGGACCACCACCACCCCTCCCTCTCCTCATGCGGCTAAACATACCGGGAATAAAACACGCAAACCCAAAGTTCCTCAAAGCGGACAATAACAAAAGGGACAAGAGCAAAGTGGATTGCAATCTCTCAAAGTGGTTAAGAGCACAAGGCATGGAGGCCACTCCCCTGAAGCCCTAAAGCCCTGTACTCTAGTGCTAGCGCTCCCTCTGGCATTAGCTCTTAACTCAAAACACTCCTTCTATTAAAAAGTTAAACCCGGGCCGAGTGACAGCTCTTAACTCAAAACGCTCTTAATTTGGGACGCTCTCAAGTTGAGGTTTTACAGTAATAGAAATGTACCAAACCACTAGCAGAGAAGCACCGGGTGCTCATTGACATGGACATGAAGCATTAGATTGAAGCCTCCCTCTTGACTTCTTGATAATAACTGTGCATCAAATGATATATATGCTTTCTATGTTATTTATTGTTTATTTTACAGAACCCCAATAAATTTGAAGAAGTGTTTGATGAAATGATTACTTTTTTAGAACAAACAGATCACTGGGCTAATACTGAAATTGAGCTTGCTGCTTGTGGAGTAAGTATATTCCATTTATATATGTTTCACTAGCTAAGGTACCAGCCGATGCTCAGGTTAGAGATTTTGTAATACTATTTGTAAGAAGTAGTCATTGTTTACTTTTGGTTTTTATGAATGCTTCCATTAGAAAATTCATACATATATGGGTGAAGTACAACTCCCAACATTGTGGGTCAATTCTCCTCAAATCTACCGGTATGGTCATGTTGGCTAGGCATGCCAAGTTTGATCCAGATCCATCGTCGATGGGAGTCACAGGGCTCTCTGTAGTCAGGATGAACAATAGCTTTTTTGGTGCAGTTTAAATACTGTATTGATTATTAAATGGGTACAATAATTTTCATTTATTATATCACATCCAAATGTAGGTGAAACATCTAAATTTCTATGATGTTGTTCTGGACTTCATATTAATGGATTCCTTTGAAGATTTAGAGAATCCACCTATGTCTATACAGAATGTGGTTAATAACCATTGGCTGAATTCTTCATTCAAAGAAACTGTAAGTATCTATGTGCTACATTCTATTCTATGGTTCAATATTTCTCCAGGTGTTTTTCATTATCTATAGGATAGATTTTAGTAACTGCAATCCTCTGAATAATTTTTAAATGTTGAAGAAACTGCATTGTAACTAAGAAGTCAATTTGAGATACTGGCAACAGAAACTAAACTGGAAATATTTTACATCCTGTAGTTACATGGGAATATCTGTGATTAGTAGCTCCTCAATCTCATATCTACCCTAATAGCTGTTTAATGACTTTTTATTTTATTTTGTCCATCTTTTTTCTTTCTGTTTTTTTTAAATCACTATGAATCTGTGCTGCCTTTTTATTTTAATTTTATTGGCTTAATCTACATCCTGCCTTACTTTATATCCTGCCTGTGTGGGATTCTGCTTTCTTGCTTTCTCTCTCTCTCTCTCTCTCTCTCTCTCTGCTTACCGCCTTGTGCCTTCTCCTCCTCCCTGAAAGTTTTGATGGAGGAAAACCTGTGTTCCTTCTCTAAAGGATATTAAAAATAAAAGGGGATTGTTGGGAGTTGAATCAACCCAGTGAGGTAGGCAAATTTGCGAGGCAGTAACTCCAAAGTTTACCTAGTAGGTTGTTGTTATTATTGTTTCAAAGACTGGGTAGGCATCTGTTGGAGGTGCTTTGACTGTGCTTTTACTGCCTGGCAGAAGGGGGTTGGACTGGATGGCCCCTGGGGTCTTCAAGTGAAATAGTAGTGTTGGTTAAAATTCCCTAAAAACCAGTGAATGTGCAAATCTTTCTGAAACTTTGGGGGGGGGGGAGCACCCTGGTTATATTGTATCATTGTATAGAAATTAAAAGAGATAGCTATTGTAGGTTTTATTTAAAAGGTGTTCATTAAAAACTTTTTAAAATTCCCAAACATCAGTGGATGTGGAAAACGTTCTGAAACTAGGTGGGGGGACACAGAGTGGTAAATGTATGCTACAGTTGTATCAAGTTTCATCACAATATCCCTAAAACCGATGGAGGGAGGAGCTCCATTAGTGTCCCCACTGGCGTAAGGAAAAACTAACAGCCTTTTTGGAACTCTGTAATAATTTCAACACAAATCACTTATGACTTTCCCAAAACAGTTTAGAATCAAAATGGGGGTCGCTTGATTTTTGTTGAGACAAATGAAGTTGGGTTTTTTAAAAATAGTGCACACTTCTAATTATTACCAGTGGTTCCTCAGTCTCTTACTTTATGACTAATTCACAAGCTAGGAATCCTGTTTTAAGTTGTGGATTTGATTGAAGTGTTATGGATTTATTTGACAGATCAGAATGCAGCTTTTCTGACTAAGAATTCTTTGTTTTCTGAGTAGAAAACCAGATGCCTCTTCCTGTTCATAGACAGGTCAAGAACATAATGGTCATTTCAGTTTGTCCACTGGAACATGACATTCATAAGTACTATTTGTTCTTGGAAATGGCGTGAATAGGAGCACCTTGTTAACTGGCCAAAAAGCCCTTACTGCTATCTGCACAGTCCACTGTTTTATAAACATTTTTGGTTTACAGCAACTTTTATGGGTCTCCACATTTTCAGAGGGGAAGTTCTACAGGGCTATAAATCAGAACTGAACAGGACTATCAGGCCCATTCCCTTGGAAGTAAATCATTGTGGACTGAGGACAAAGATCTAAGAGGGGCATGTAAGCAAAATTGGCTGAACAGAGGGTGTAGAGCTGCTGTTCAGTGCACAAAGGTGTACTTATTTCAGGATGTACAGAGACACTAACGTAGATTTTATGTGCTACTCACGTCCCATTTTTTTCATGTCAGGAGCGACTTGAGAAACTGCAAGTCGCTTCTAGTGTGAGAGAATTGGCCATCTGCAAAGACGTTGCCCAGGGGATGCTTTGACTTCTCTCATGTCCCTGCATGAGAAGCTGGAACTAACATATGGGAGCTCACCCCAGTCCCCAGATTCAAATGCCGACCGTTCAGTCAGCAGTCCTGCCGGCACAAAAGTTTAACCCATTGCACCACCCATTATCAGTTCCCACGTTCTTATATTCATTTCCTCTTATCCATGTCAGCTAAAAAAAACTCAAGAGGGTTGTTACAAATTCAATCTGTGTACTGTAACAGCCTATTATCTCTTCTTTCTTTAATTTTTACCTTTGTATTACATAGAATGATCTCTTATGTTTTGTCATCCTATTGGACACATTTCAGTGCCTTTCTTGGAAGTTTCACTTATAACTGTATACAATTCTCTCTGCATCCCCATTTCTTTCTTTCTTTGCCCTAGTCCATATCCAATTCTGTTACCTTGTTTTTCTGCTCCTTTAAATGGTCACTCTACCAGGTTATTCACTTAAAATCTAATTTAATCCCTTTGAATCAAAGACAAAGTATGGACTATGGACTGTGCATTGTGTCCATGGGCTATACTCCATTTCGGTAGCCCTTTATGGTTCCCATGGTATTTATGATACAAAACAAAATATTGCCAAAAAGGCTATTGCCAAATGGCTAATTAGCCTTTAAGCATTTGCAAACCACTCCAAAAAGTTTAAAAATCCTGGAAATGACTCTTAGTTGCATTATTTGCTGCAAATGAAATGGTGCGATCTACAGTTGGTGCGTGCAGTGAAAAACAGTTTTGTCCATCCTTTATATCATTTATTTCCACACACCAACCTTAGCCTACATTTATGTATTCCTTAATTCTGCACACATTATCTGTGCTGTGCCTGGAAGCTTCTACACACTAAAATGAAAGGCACCAACTCTACCATGGAAGGCTCTGAATCCAGAAAGAGCTGCACTGAATATACGCTTATGGCCTCCCCTTTTTTCCTCCTCTTTCTCCTTTCAATCAGTTTATGTATGCTTTAGATTTCCTGACAAAGAATAGTTAAATGGGAGTGAACAGTGGATATTTGGATTCTCTGACGAAGTCATAATTAGTCCATGAGTCTCATGTTGTGGAGGACTTGACATTAGTGTTGGGAGTGCTTTTTTCCCTCCCCTGGTTATATATGGGTTTTTGTCAGTGGCAATTTACCTCCTAATACTAAAAGGGGAATTCTTTTCCATTCCATTCAAATTCTGTTATGCCCTGTGGGAGATAAGAGTCTAGGTTTGCCATCTGTATATTGTATTATTTCAAGCCTTATTAGGGCAAAACTGCTTAGCTGATTCAAAAAGTATTTAAAGTATTCCTCCCCCCCTTGGAGACGGATCTTTCTTTTTCTTTCTTTCTTTCTTTCTTTCTTTCTTTCTTTCTTTTTACAATGCTGCTCAAATGAAAAAGTATGTGCCTCTGTTCATGTTTTTCAAGGCTAAAAATAAAGAATATCTGTTTTTTAAAAATCTTCTAATGTGAAAAAATTGGGGAACATTGGCTTGAATTTAAGTTATAATAAAGTTAGAAAATGAAAACACAAGGAGTTTAATTGCCATATAATTAAAAGCTATATACTTCACAAGGCATTTGAAAAAACGTTTGCTGCTACCCATAGTTGGCAAGAAGAAATATTTAATAGGCAATGCCTTCCTCTAGAGCTGTTAACACTAATTAATACAATGAACATTCCTATGTTTACTGGACTCTTCAGAGCAGCTTATCTGAAAGCTAATTTTAGAAATTAGCTTTCTTAATTTTTTTGAGCAGAGGCCAGGAAATTGAAGCACACACATTTACGCCTCCAACCAGGACCAAAACATTTTGGGCCCTGCTGGAGACTTTCATTTTTTACAACGCTGCTTTGAGACTGGTATGGCCTCTGCTGGTTGCTAGGCATGGAAAGTCAGCCTCCAAGCCTGCCAAAATCCCCCCCACACACACACACACCCTGGCCTCCCCATTTATAGTTTTCATAGTTCACAAGTAATAATTCAGTTTTGGTATACTATGCAACATATGGGATTTGAAAATGAAAAGTAGTTTCCCCTGGACTATATCTATCCTCTCTTTCCAAGTAGCCAGTTTCAGATGCTGTAGGAGTATTGTACATCCATAGACAGCACACTTGTAGAGGCCCAGTGGACAGGACATAGCATTTATTTATAGAACAATTGCCATGACCTGCGCTAAGCCCATGGGATATAGAGATATGTACTTGCCACAAATGTAGGCAATTCCTTAAACTTGTAATTGTGGTATGTTTGTGCATGCCTTCAAGCCACCTTTCAACTTATGGCAACCCCATGAATTTTATAGGGTGTTTATTCAAGGAATTCTCAGATGTGGTTTTACCAGTTCCTTCCTCTGAAATATTAACTATAACACATGATATTCATTGGCAGCCTCCCATCCAAGTTCTACCCAGGGCTGGCCCTGCTTAGCTTCCAATAGCTGATGAGATCTGGTGCCTTTAGTGCAGTGGTTCCCAACCTTTGGACCTCCTGGTGTTTTGGACTTCAGCTCCCACAGTTCCTACGGGCTGGTAAGCTGGCTGGGATTTCTGGGAGTTGAAGTCCAAAACACCTCAAGGCCCAGACGTTGGGAACTACTGCTTTAAGGTATATGGGTTGTTATGTATCAGTGTTGCAAAATAAAACATCTATTTTCTTTCTTGATTTTATATTATTGTGATTATGAGTTTTGTAATGTTACTTTATATGTAACAATAACACAGTGTTAAACAATATTACAAACCCTGTCATCACACAGTGTTATAAATCAGGAGACAAACATGAGATATTTAAAGTTGTTATTCATAAAGAGGAAGTATTTCAAATGTATACGCATCTTTTATTTGTTTATTTGTTTGTTTTAGGCTGTGGCTTCCAGTTGCTGGTCAGTCTTGAAACAAAAAAAGCAAAAAATGAAGGTCAGTTTTCAGTGTCTTGTTTGTAAAGACAGTAGTCATTATCTAGCACTGTAACCTGTGATGAGCACAACTAGAGATCAGCACAACTATCAACTGTGTCTGACACAGCTGCGAGTGATATATATATATATATATATATACCATTTTGATCGATCACAGACTTTAGGAATTTAAAAAGAGAGGCATGGAATGCCATGCCAAAACAATATTTGAATGTACAATGAAGCAAATTAGTATTGAGAGGAAAACTGTATGTGAATAAAGTACTGTATGCAATGGGAATGAACCATTTGCTATTGTTGGTGCTTAGAAGGATAGGGGACCCGAGTGTCATTGGATCCCATTAGTTGATGTTCCAACCATGAAAAACTGAGTAGATTATCCATGAGTAGCCATTTCATATTTTTCAACATGATAGACTTCCTTCAAGTAAATTGCAAAATATTTGTCATTTTAATATTGTTATGTATTTGTAAGAAATATTTCAATACCATTTTACTTACCATTCAGAGAAAAAAAAAGATCAAATGTTCTTCCAAATTAAATTGCATTTAATCTAGATGCTTAAGTGTTGCTCAATTTAGGATGGTTGGAACAGCCTCAATGTTTATTTACCATATTTATATCCTGCCCTTCTCACCCCGAAGGGGACTCAGAGTGGCCTTACAAAAGGCAACCATTTGATGCCATATCAAACAGACATGTAGCAATAAAACAAACATATACATTAAAAACATAAAATTAAAAGCAACATAAACATTATAACCCATTGTTAAAACCACGTAATCTGAAATCACAATCAAAAGCCATTCCAGTCATTATTGCACATATTCCAACTTCACTTCTTGCACTGCACTATTAAGGTTTGGTCCCAAAGTCATGTTTTTACTTTATTTCTGAAGGTCAGGAGGGAGGGGGCTGATCTGATTAGTCTGTTAAGTACAGACTTTTAGGTATAAATTTATGTTTACAGTTTTATGGAAGAGATCCCAAGACTTTAAAAACATTTTATAAATAGCTTTACTTTAGTCCATGGCAGAAACTGATGTCTGTATAAATATACATTAAACATTTGTTATACCAGTGTTTCTCAACCTGGTGGTCGGGACCCCGGGGGGGGGGAGTCATGAGGGGGATGTCAGAGGAGTTACCAAAGGCCATCAGTAAACACAGTGGGTTCTGTGTGGTAAATTTGGTCTAATTTTCTCATTGGCGGGGCTCAGAATGCTATTTGATTGTAAGTGAACTATAAATCCCAGAAACTTCAACTCCCAAATGTCAAGTTTATTTTCCCCAGACTCCACCGGTATTCACATTTGGGCATATTGAGTATTCATGTCAAGTTTGGTCCAGATCCATTATTGTTTGAGTCCAGAGTGCTCTCTGGATGTTGGTGAACTACAACTCCAAAACTCAAGGTCAATGCCCATCAGATCCAGTATTTTCTGTTGCTCATGGGAGTTCTGTGTTCTAAGTTTGGTTTGATTCTATCGTTGGTGGAGTTCAGAATGTTCTTTTGATTATAGGTGAACTATAAATCCCAGCAACTACAACTCCCAAATGACAAATCAATCCCCTCTCAACTCTACCAGTATTAAAATGTGAGCGATTTGGATATTTGTGCCAAATTTGGTCCAGTGAATGAAAATACATCCTGCATATCAGATAGTTATATTAAGATTCATAACATTAGCAAAAGTACAGTTCTGAAGTAGCAATGAAAATAATGTTATGGTTTGGGGTCGCCACAACATGAGGAACTGTATTAAGGGGTTGTGGCATTAGGAAGGTTGAGAAACACTGTGTTAGACACATGGTGAAATAGATTCATCTCTCATTGTTGGACCTCTTAGTATAAAACTGATATTAAAAGTCACCATTTTTGCCAAGTGGTTGCCTGGTAATACCATATAGCTCTACTCAAACTTAAGGCTCACTGAGCTTAATGGGTGTTAAACACAGCTTTAGGATTCCAGCCTTTACAGCTGCATATATACTGGCTGGAGGATCCCTTGAGCTCATTGAGACATATTCTGGAAAAATATATGTAGCATTTCAATTTTAATATGTTAATTTAAGGCACTAATTATGTAGTGGTAATTGCTGATTGAAATATGTTAATGCTTTCACCAGGTTTCTGATGGCTTCTTTGCCCATTTCTACTCTATTTGTGAGCACATTAGTCCTGTTCTGGCCTGGGGCTTCTTGGGTCCTCGAAATTCTCTCTATGAATTATGCAGCTTCTTCAAGGTATGAAACTTCCTTTTGCCATAAGAGTGCCTATATAGTAATCAAAAGGATAAAACTAGAAAGACATGTTTGTTGTGCAATAAGTCTTGTAATTTGCATAACTGAATTTGCTCTGCCTTCGTTTTCACTAGGATCAGGTTCTTTATTTCCTGAAGGACATTTTTGACTTTGAAAAGGTGCGGTTTTCCACAATAGACAACCTAACCGAAGACCTTATGCAGTTGCTGATTCGGCACACTGAACTCCTCCTGGCCTATCTTGGGACCGATTCCCTGAGACACGTCAGTGGCTGCGTCAGCGCATGCAGCGGACCCACAGCAGCCAGTGGCCTTTTGGAAGCCAAAGTACAATGAGTTTCCTTTTTTATTCTTAACATGAGCACAATCATTTGCCTTTCCCCCCTCTCCCTTAAAGAAACTTGTCATTGCTTGTGTTTATTTCTAAACAAGGACCTGAACATCTACAAAGTTGTTAAATATGGTCTCAGGGAGGTTTAAAACATTTGGAAATCATTGCTTACTGTATGTGTCTCAAAAGGACGAGCTCATTGTCTCTGGTTCTATGTCCCAACCTTTTTTAAAAAAATAATTAATTTAAATTTATTTGTGAAAATGCTGTAATTTGGCTTGGATAAATTATTTGTAATTTAAAGTGATACAAAGATATGTGGTATAGTGACTATATTTGTCTCAGAGGTTTATATAGTAGCAATTACTCAGTAGAAAGTTTCAAAAGCTCTGCTGGCCATATGTTTGCCAAGTTGTACACCTTTTTTTGTCTCCAGAGACATGTGCAATTAAATAACATGTGCAGTGAGAAATGATGTTTTGCGTGTGTAAGCTATCATTTACAATGCTACAGAATGAGTAAATGCATTCAGCATTTAGAAAAAAATTATTTCTGTGGGTATTATTACTAAAGTTAAGTGCTAATTTACATCTGGGTAAATTCCTCTTTCCTAGTCTATTATTCTTTTGAAATCATAATCTGGGGAGGCCTTAAACAATTGTTTTAGAATCATTTACAAATTGGTTTAATTCCCTTCCAACTTTAGAGAGCTTTTAAAACTTTATACTACTTACGAATAAGCTGGAACCTTGTCTTGTTTGAATGTAACACTGAAAATCTATTTTTAAGAAGAAAAATGTATGTCAAAAAACAGATAATCATGCAACAAACATAAATATATGCTCTGTTATCATTTTGAATTTTTATGTTCTTTTTCAAACATCCAGGATTTGATTTAGACAAGGACAATGCAAACAACTGTAAACAATGGTTTTTTTCTTTATGTATGTTATACAAGAAGGTTGGTCCTTGAAAATATTTCTGAGGCTGGATCTATACTGCCATATAATATATATGCTTACAACACAGCTTTATTCTACAACACAAGATGACCAGTTCAAACAGTTTGATTGCAGGCTCTAATGCAGGCATGGGCAAACTTTGGCCCTCCAGATGTTTTGGACTGCAACTCCCACAATTCTTAACAGCTGGTAGGCTGTTAGGAATTGTGGGAGTTGTAGTCCAAAACACCTGGATGTCCGAAGTTTCCCTATGCCTGCTCTAATGGAATGATTGACATTGCTATCTGGTGCTGTCTGCCTATTTTCCCATAAAAGTGCCTGTATAACTGACTGCTTTGCAAGTTTCCTTTTGGTGAGGTGGCGAAAAAGATAGGATTACCCACCATTCATTACACAGCAAATTATTAGAACCCATTGAGTAAGCCTTGTGAGTCTAATGCTCCCACTATTAAATCCATGCTACTGGACGTTTTAAAATGCAAGATGTGCAGTATAGTATAGTATAGTATAGTATAGTATAGTATAGTATAGTAGTGGCTTGAGTATTGTACTACAACTCTGGCAAGGTGAAGTTCAAATCCCCATTCAGCCACATAAATTAATCTCTTAGCCAGAGTAAGGCAATGACAAACCCTGTGTTCATTTCACCTTAGACTTGCTATAAATCGGAAGAAACGTGGGAATGCAACAACAGTGCTTGCATGGGCACCTCCTCTCTCTTGCTACAGTCTGTTTATTTTAATTTTTCAGATGTTTTTACTGTCCTTTTTTCTTCAAAACATTGTCGACCTCCATAAATTATTCTTTAAAACATGTTTACGAGATACTACTTGTCCATGTTATTATTAAAAATAATAACATACTTTGAAAAGCCATTTGGTAAAAGCCATTCAGAAATTTACTGTATTTTTATTTATTTATTTACTGTATTTATACACTGCTTTTATCACCCCTTGGAGGACTCAAAGCGATTTTCAACATAGTCACGGCAAAATTTAATGCCAAACATTCATGCGAAATACCAAAACATAAAATCAACAATAACATAAACTATGAATTAAATTATCAAAACCATATTGAACCATAAAATATAAGCAACATTTAGACATTAAAACATAGAATTAAAACATATTAATATAGACATGAAAATCACATTATCCGAAAACCGTAATCCGAGGCCATTCCAAATATCAATTACACAAATCCTTGTTCATTTCTTACACTGCTTACTAACCAAAGACTTGTTCCCACAGCCATGTCTTTACTTTCTTTCTGAAGGCCAATGATAGAAATGTCTATCTAAACAAAAACATTTGCATCCAGTCAGCTTCTTCATTTGTGAGATTTGACATGGTACAGAAAATGCCATATTCAAGCCTGAAAACCTTATTTCTATATACATTCACACACTTTAAATCTAGAGTTTAATGTTTGTTAAGTAAAACTGTAATACACACAAGGAGCTTCCCTTCCTCTTTGTAGAGAGATAGTAACAAGATGCTGTACTTGTTGGCAATACTGCTGCAGTTTTAGTTGAATGAATAAACAAAAGAATTAGTTTATTTAGTCTGGCTTTCTGCTTCAGTTAAAGCATTCACCAGCCTTTGGTGTTTGACGGAAGAATAATCAAAATAAAAGCACAAATCTAGCTCATTCTAAGTCAAAATACTACTACTACTACTGATGATGATGATAATCATCATCATACATACATACATACATACATACATAAATAAATACAGCACCCTTAGATCCAGGATGATATAGTAGTTTCACTATTGGGCTTGGACTTTGGGAAACCAGAGGCTATGGAAACCCACTGTGCAGGTCACACACATTCAGCCTCAAATGGCAGGGAACGGCAACCCTTCTGAACAAATCTTGCCCCAAAAAAATCCTATGAAAACTTGACCTTACAGGTGTCATAAGTCTGAAATGATTTGATGGCATACAAGAGCGCAACCACACCCTATGTCATAAGAGCTCATGACAACCACTAAAATTATCTGTACAGATATGTATTTCCCACGCTAAATCAAAGGCTGAAGTGACTTGTCGTGGATGTTCACAAATTAATGTTACCTCAACAGTGGAACCACCTAGAAATGTGGAAATGCTGATGTTAAAAGTGGTCTGACCCACCACTACCAAAATACTGAGAACACTTTATGAGTTTCATGTATCTGGTGCTGACTGGAGTTCATGTTGCTACAATTATCTGGTAAGTTACTATTATTAGTTGCTTGCTCTCCATGACTTTAGTGCTATAAAAAAGCTACCAGGGTCTAACAGCCTCCAGAAACAGTTGCTCTAATACATAAAAAAGAAGCTGCTCAGGGGTTGGGTGCTGTCCTAAAGAAGAACTGCCAACAACTGAACCAGAAACACGTGTGTTCTGGAAGGATTGGGAAAAAATAACACGTAAGTATGTTTTTAATTTCTAAATAATAGCGCTAAGGATACATTTGAGAGCGAGCTGGAGCTGCTGTCTGGAGTGTTGAAAACAGTGTCTCTGCAGTTGCAGTTGTTGAAATGATTTAGCATTTGCACATATTTGGGCCTATATGAGTACTGCCTTACACTGTCTACTGCCTGTCGTCGAAGCTAGGATCCAGCTCCCATTATCTGCTGCTCTGGAGACTAGGACTCGGAGCAATGGGTTCAAATTACAGGAAAGGCGGTTCCAACTGAAGATTAAGAACTTCTTGACTATAAAGAGCTTTTCAACAGTGGAACTCTCTGCCTTGGAGTGTGGTGGAAGCTCCTTCTTTGGAGGTTTCTAAACTGAGGCTGGATGACCATCTGCCAGGGGTGCTTTGATGGTGGATGTCCCATGTGGTCTCTTCCAACTCTATGATTTTATGATCCCTTGCCAGCATAAACAACACTCACACTGGCAAGAGATGGTGAGAGATAAAGGGTCACGTATTTGCAAGCTAAGCTCAGGAGAGCAGCTAGAGACTGGCAAGGACTCACTCAACACTTCAGTCATATAAACCAGACACACTCTTTCCCCCTCTTTGGAAGCAGTCTGTTCTCAAAAGACCCCCTCCCTTAATGTTCAGCAAGAAAGGGAAAGCACTCTGTACCTGTTCAGAGACAACTGCTAGTGAGAACAGGAAGTCCCTGACTTATACACAACTCATAGTTAAAAAAAGGAGTGAGACAACATGAAGTGAGAGAAATCTACCTCTGGGAAGAAAAATTCACTCCTGAAAAGAGTTATTACTGAAGCTTTATCACAGATCCTTGTTTCCACAACAAGGATCGGTGATTGCATGGTTTTAAGTAATTATTTAATTAATATGTTTTAATTATGTGATTTTAAAGTATATGTTTTATTTTTATATGTATTTAAGGCATCAAATTGTGCCTTTGTTGTGAGCTGCCCCGGGTCCCCTTCCAGGGTGAGAAGGGCGGGATATAAATGAGGTAAATAAATAAATGAATGTATAAGCCACATTTTTCAAATCGATCACAGTGACAGAAAGTGAGGTGAAATCTTCTCAATAGGGTCTCAGACATCAAAACAAACCCCACAGGGGTATCAACCCTTCCCTATACTATACTCAAAAGATCAACCTTTCCCTATACTATACGCAAAAGATATACATATTTGGCTGGAGTTACACTTTAAGAATGTACCTGTTCCGACTTACAAATAAATTCAGTTTAAGAACAATCTGTATAACCTATCTTGTTTGTAACTTGGGGACTGCCTGTACTCAACTTGGCTGAAATATTGGTAGTGTTCCATTATTAGGGTGGAAGCCACAAGGGGGTGATAGAGAAGGATAGTCCATTTTACAGGGGGTGGGTTGAAGTTGAATCAATTCCCCCTTTTTGCTGGTTATTCCTCCTCCCCACTTTCCATATCATAAAGAAGTGTTGTTTCCATGACGGGGGACATGGGTGGAGGTAATAACAGGAAAATGGGAGACATGTTTTTCCTCTTTCAACCCACCCCTATAAAATGGACTATCCTTCTCTCTCTAGCACCTCATTGTGGCCTCCACCCAGATAATGGAACAGTACTGAAATATCAACCAGATTTTTTTTTCATGTCAGGGAAACGACTTGGGAAACTGCAAGTTACATCTGGTGTGAGAGAATTGGCCATCTGCAAGGACATTGCCCAGGGGATGCCTGGATGTTTTACCATCCTGTGGGAGGTTTCTTTCATGACCCCACATGAGAAGGTGGAACTGATAGACGGGAGCTCATCACACTCCCCAGATTCGAAACACTGACCTTTTGGTCAGCAATCCAGCCGGCACAAGGATTTATTTATTTATTATTTATAGCATTTATATTCCACCCTTCTCACCCCATAGGGGACTCAGGGCAGATCACAATGCACATGGCAAACATTCAATGCCATAAACACACATATATAGACAGAGAAACAGAGGCTATTTAACTTTCCAGCTTCATGAGGGTATGCTTTTTGAATTCCAGCCACCAGGGGAGCTGTCGCTTCACCATCCAATTATGATGGCGATTGAGTACTTCCTCATTCTTTTTGCATGCTGCTGGAGAGTTTTATGGTGTCATAAATTAAATTAGCCTCCCCGCATAAGGGGTACCTAAATTTCCTACTTGACAGATGCAACTGTCTTTCGGGATGCAAAGGTCGACAGCAAGCTAGACAAATGACCAGAAGCTCACTCTGACCTGGGCTGGCTTTGAACTCATGACCTCTCAGTCAGTAGTGATTTTAATGCAGCTGACTCCCAAACAGCTGTGCCACAACCCGGTCCCATTGCCACTGAAGGTATTTCAGGATCAAGGTGCTTTGGATGTGGGATGTCAATGAGTTGCAAGATGAGTTTCAAGATGGCAATGGTTTGGCCAGTGATATTGATGCAGAGAATGACCAAGAGATCCCCGTTCAAAGTGTAGTTTCCCATGAGAATGTCCCTGAGGGGTGTGGGGATGATGGTGTGCTTTCTGAATTGTTACCAGAGAGTTCCCCTGATAGGGAACATTAAAACAGCTTGGCACCTGGCCCAGCTGCAGAAATTAATGAGCAAATAGATAGATGGGAGGAGATCAGTCAAAACAGGAGAGCCAAACAGTGGCTTTGGCGTTCTGCCAGGCTCCGAGAGAAAAAGATAAATTCTCAGCTAAAGAGAAATCAATTTCTGCGTGCTAGAGACATAGCTAACGAGGAGATAAAAGTCCCAAGTACAGGATATGTAGTCAGATGGAGCATCATTTGGAATTAGTCAAGATCTTGTCTTTGCTTGGAAAATTAATGTTTTAAGTGCCTTTGTTTCATGGTTTTGATTCTTGGATTCTATGCTTTTATATTCATGCTGTGGTTTCATATTTCCTGATTTTTTGCATTTTATTTGGGAAGTTTTGACTTTGTTTTTATGGACTTTGCTGGACTATTACCCTGGACTACTTTGTTGCTGCTTATCTTCCTAAGTAATTGGATTTACCTATTTCTTTAAAGTGCTTTTTTACCTTACTGCTTTTTGATTATCTTTAATAAAAGGATTGCTTTCCATCCAATGATGTGGCATTTAAGTCAGAGGGCTTTTCCTGTCCTGGAGTGCATCGGAAGGCTCCTTATCGACCGTAGTGGTTCTCAACCTGTGGGTCCCTAGATGTTTTTGCCTTCAAGTCCCAGAAATCCTAACAGTTGGTAAACTGGCTGGGATTTCTGGGAGTTGTGGGCCAAAACACCTGGGGACCCACAGGTTGAGAACCAATGAGCTAGATGAAACATTACTTACTTACTTACTTACTTACTTACTTAGGTGATCCCTCATTGTCCGAGGAGGATAGTCTTCCAGGATCAGTGTACTGGCAATGGGTTAATAGGTGACTGTGGAGCCCTATTCTTGATCTGCATCTTCTCCTGCAGTGAGGGCATCGGTTTCCAGGTGGAAGGTGGTCCCGGTTGGAGTTGGCTTGATGCGCCTTCCTCTTCGCATGTTTCTCTCTTTCGCCCTCCATTCCTGCCTCTTCAAATTCTACAGCACTGCTGGTCACAGCTGACCTCCAGCTGGAGCAGTCAAGGGCCAGGGCTTCCCAGTTCTCAGTGTCTATGCCAGACTTTTGTTTTTCTGTGGTGTCAGGAGTGACTTGAGAAACTGCAAGTCGCTTCTGGTGTGAGAGAATTGGCTGTCTGCAAGGACGTTGCCCAGGGGACACCCGGATGTTTGGATGTTTTATCATCCTTGTGGAAGGCTTCTCTTATGTCCCCGCATGAGGAGCTGGAGCTGACAGAGGGAGCTCATCCGCCTCTCCCCAGATTCGAACCTGCGGCCTGTCGGTCTTCAGTCCTGCCGGCACAGGGGTTTAACCCACTGCGCCACGGGGGGGGGCAGAGTTTTTAAGGTTGGCTTTGAGCAAATGCAAAGCATCATATGGGGTGCATCTGTATCAGGCATGGGCAAACGTGGGCCTTCCAGGCGTTTTGAACTTCAACTCCCACAGTTCCTAACAGCCTTGAGGGCCCAAGTTTGCCCATGCCTGATGGATAGCATCAGTGCTGTTGGAGCTTATTTAAAAATACTGCCATGGCTCAATGGTATAGCATCCTGGGGGGATTCTATACTTGTTTGAAGAGGGATTTCTCCTTCTCTGCCCAAAGAGTGCTTGCTGGTGGTGCTTCACCAAAACCTGGGATCCCAGGGCCTGGAGCTTTGGCAGTTTTAGCGACAGGGGAAGATGCGCCCACCCTCAATAGAGGAGTCTTCCCGGGGGCGATATTTATAGCCTCCCATCCCAAAATAACCCGAGCCAAGAGGCGCTGAGGAAAAGGAGGGGGGGGGCGCGTGAGTTGGTGTGTGTGTGTGGTGCGCGCGCGGCGGGACAGCTGCGTCCGCGAGGCCGGGGAGGCGCGCGAGGAATGCGGCGCGAGCTGCGCACCGGGACTTTTATGGAAACTTGCATCGCCCGGCGCCGGAGCCGCAGCCAAGGGGCGAGGAAGCGAGAGAAGGAAGAGCAGGAAGAGGAGTAGCAGCAGCAGCAGCAGAGACGGGAGCCGCGGCGGCAGACGCTCCCGAACCTCCTTCCCGCCCACCCACCTAGGCAGACAGGCCGCCACCCGCTGGGATTAACTGCTGCAGGCTGAGAGAAGAGGAAGGCGACGACAACAAGGAGGAGGAGGAGGAGGCGCGAGGGGCCCTCAGGTAGGCGAAGGGAGCCACGGCGGCGGGGGGGGGGGGTGTTTCCTCTCCACTCACCATTTCATTCATCTCCACGCTGGCTTCCAACAAACAAACGCCCCCAAAAGAAAGCCCCTCGCGTTTTGCATTTTGTGCCACCACCACCACCCGGGCCTCATACGGATTTGAAATGGTCAGAGTTGACGCCCACCCTTTCTCTCTCTCCAAAGTTTGGTTTTCTTAGCGAGAGTCATAGACTTTCCTCTTGTTTCACGGAGAGAATCCCTCTTCCTCTCGCGCCGCCACCTCACGCGTGTCGTGTTTCGCTATTTGGTGTTTCTACCACAGAGTGTCTCCTTCGCTTTGTTGGTCACTACAAGAGTTTTTAGGGGTTGTTCAACCCGCCTCAGAGTCAGGCCCTATACGTCCCAGGATCTGATCGTCAGAGGAGGGTGATCAAAATGATCAAGAGTCTGGAGAACAAGCCTTATGAGGAGCGGCTTAAAGAGCTAGGCATGTTTCGCCTGCAGAAGTGAAGGCTGAAAGGAGACATGATGAGGGCCATGTATCAATATGTGAAGGGAAGTCATAGGGAGGAGGGAGCAAGCTTGTTTTCGGCTGCTCTGAAGACAACAATAGCTTCAAACTACAGGAAAGAAGATTCCACTTGAACATGAGGAAGAACTTCCTGACTGTGAGAGCCATTTAACAGTGGAACTCTCCTCCCCGGAGTGTGGTGGAGGCTCCTTCTTTGGAGACTTTTACACAAAGGCTGGATAGCCATCTGTTGGGGGTGATTTGAATATGATTTTCCTGCTTCTTGGCAGGGGGTTGGACTGGATGACCCACAAGGTCTCTTCAAACTCTATGATTCTATGATACATTCCTATACTTTCAGACTAATACAGTGCAACCCATGCATTTGAAGGATACATTCTTGAAGTTACCATGAAAACAGGAAACAATGAATAATAGTGAACTCTTTCAAAATGAACAACTTCTTTCCTATGGAAAGAGATCTTGTTTTAGCTTTGGAGGAGATTCGTGTCTAGTTCAGGAGTCCTGAGAATCACAGGGCCTTGCAGGGATTTCTTGCATGGCCTTCCCATCACTCCCTTCCCTCTGGGCTGCTGGGAACTGCACTCCATTGACTCCTAGCCAATCAGGTGCTTCTTTCAAATGTGGAACAATGGCTTCAAATCAAACTACAGGAAAGAGATTCCACCTGAACATGAGGAAGAGCTTCCTGACTGTGAGAGCTAGTCAGCAGTGGAACTCTCTGTCCCAGAGTGTGATTGAGGCTCTTTTTTTAGGGTTTTAAACAGAGGCTGGGTGGCCATCTGCTTATCCCAGATTATCTGCCAGTAGGGGATTCATATAATCCCGTTTAAAGCAGAAAACCTGGGATCAGATCCTGGGATATATAGGCCTGCCTGGAAGGGCCGTTTGAGACACATGGGTCTAGTGTCTAGATCCAGGGAAGTCATGCTACCCCTCTATTCTTCCATGGTCAGATCACACCTGGAGTCATACCTGTCTTGACAGCAGTACGTGTGAAAAAGATCTTGGAGTCCTCCTGGGGAGGAAGGTCAACATGTGCCAGGAATGTCATACGTCGGCATAAAAGGCCAATCAGATTTTGACCTGCATAAATAGGAGTCTAGTGCCTAGATCCAGGGAAGTCATGCTACTTCTTTATTCTTCCTTGGTCAGACCACACCTGGAATTGCACTGTGTCCAATTCTGGGCACTGCAATTGAAGGGAGATATTGAATCTTATGCTGGCATGTGTCCAGAAAATGGTGACAAAAATAATCAATGGTCTGGAGAACAAGCCCTATGAGGAGTGGCTTAAAGAGCTGGGCATGTTTAGCCTCCAAAGAAGTGTCAAGATGGAGTCCCGCAGGGTTGCGTCCTGGGCTCAGTCCTGTTCAACAACTTTATTAATGACTTAGATGAAGGATTAGAAGGCATTATCATCACATTTACAGATGACACCAAATTGGAAGGGATAGCTAATACTCTGGAAGACAGGAGCAGAATGCAAAACAATCTTCACAGATAAGATGGGTCAAAACTGTCAAAATGAAGTTCAACAGTGACAAATGCAAGATACTCCACTTAGACAGAAAAAATTAAATACAAAGATTCAGAATGGGGGATGCATGGCTCAAGAGCAGTACATATGGAAAAGATCTTGGAGTCCTCGTAGACAACAAGTTAAACATGAGCCAGGAATGTGATGCAGTGGCTTAAAAAGCCAATGGGATTTGGCCTGCATAAATAGGAGTCTAGTGTCTAGATCCAGGGAAGTTGTGCTCTTCTATTCTTCCTTGTCAGACCACACCTAGAATCACACTGTGTCCAATTCTGGGCACTGCAATTGAAGGGAGAGGTTGACAGGCTGGAATGTGTCCAGAGGAGGGTGACTCAAATGATCAAGGGTCTGAAGAACAAGTCCTATGAGGAGCAGCTTACAGAGGTGGGCATGTTTAGTCTGCAGAAGGGAAAGCTGAGAGGAGACATGATGAGGGCCATGTATAAATATGTGAGGGGAAGTCATAGGGAGGAAGGAGCAAGATTGATGCCCTGGAGACTAGGACGCGAAACAATGGCTTCAAACTACAAGAAAGGAGATTCCACCTGAAAATTAGGAAGAACTTCCTGACTGCAAGAGCTGTTCAGCAGTGGAACTCTCTGCCCCAGAGTGTGAAGGAGGCTCCTTCTTTGGATGCTTTTAAGCAGAGACTGGAAGGCTATCTGTCAGGGGTGCTTTGAATGGAATTCTCCTGCATCTTGGCAGGGGGTTGGATTGGATGGCCCACAAGGTCTCTTCCAACTCTATGATTCCATGATTCTACGAGCACCTTTTGCCTCCTGGGCGCCAAGTGGGAGTAGCAGATGCCTCCAAGTTGCAACTCTTCCTTCCCTTCACAAAAGCAACAGGAGGAGGTGTCCCCCCCCCCCCCATACAGATTTACTTTGGAAGAGAATTCGGAAGATTTGGGAGTCGGGGGGGGGGGGGAGCAAGGGAGGATTACTGTGAAAGGAGGGAAACATTTAGAGGCATCCCCTTGAAGAAAACGGTTCCTTGTTGAGCCTGTGTCATCTTGAACAGAGCGATTTGGGGCCAGATGTCCTGCATTTCCGAACTCTGCTTCAGCATATTGCCACACTCCAAAAAACAGATCCCAGAGGATTGCTCGCTCTCCTTCCTTCCTTCCTTCCTTCCTTCCTTCCTTCCTTCCTTCCTTCCTTCCTTCCTTCCCTCCCTCCCTCCCTCCCTCCCTCCCTCCCTCTTGCAATTTTAACTATTTTATCTAAATTGAAGTTGAAGGCACTTCCCTGCTGTTTGCAAGGGACAAGAAGCAGAGGAGCTGAACTAAGTCCTGAAGAGAACAGCTTGGATTATGTGGCTGCCTTTCTGCCTCCCAGGGGTCAATGTTAAGGGAACCTTTTATTGAAAGGTGTGTAGGACTGGCTAAGGAGATGACCACTAGAACTAAGGTGCTGAGCTAATATTAGAGCCAAGGCAGTGGTGGCTGATGGTGCCGCCAGATGAGTGGGTGGGTGATCTCTAAACCCTTGCTCTCGTCATTTGCTGATCTTGTGGAAGTCACTATGCCCTTACTAAACCAAGCCGCCATTCAGAGTGACATTGAAAATAAGGCCTTATTTTAATATCCGGTCTCTTTTATATTGTACCGAGCCATTTTCCATCATACTTTATGATAAATAAATATAATTGTTGTACATTTTATATTATCATATAGGTGGTGTATTTTACTCAACTAAAAATTATTTTCAATATCAACTATACTAGTATTTTAATTACGTTTAAAAGAAGGAAATGTATATATGACTGCCCATCTAGGCCCTTATTTTGTAAACATGTAGACACACACATGTCTATATGTTAAAAATAGCCAGTGGATGAGATACTAACCTGCAGACTTCTCATTCAGATTTCAAACTTGCAGAGAAAACCTAAGCAGGTTGTTCAATCAAACCACCAGACCACTGGTTCCCAACTTTTGGTCCTTCAGGTGTTTTGGACATCAACTCAAAGAAATCCCAGCCAGTTCACCAACTGTTAGGAATTGTGGGAGCTGAAGTCCAAAACACCTGGAGGACCAGAAGTTGGAAATCACTGCACAATCACTGCACATGGGTGCCTATAGTGTGAATCGGTGTGAATCTTTCACTGATTTATGGGTTGCATTCTTTTCTGACAAGGATAACTCAGCCACAGTGGCGCATGTGCTGAATGCTTCCAGATTAGATTACTGTCATGTGCTCTGTTTGGGGATGCCCTTGAAGATGACTGAGAAGTGACTGTTAATACAAAACATAACAACTAGACTGTTTTGTTGAAGGCTTTCATAGGCTTGTGCACTGATTTGGATTGGTCAGTTCCCTTCAGCCAATCTGTCTTGTTCGGCTTGGTAGGATGGCCGTAACGGCAAGGGCCCAACTGTCACATTTTTCCATCTGTAATGGAACCATGTGGCAGCCAATCATGGGTCCTCCTCCCCTATTTGGTATCACAAGGCACTCAAAAAGGCTTCTGCGTACTGCTCGCATGGGGTTTTGCTGTGAGCCCTTCCTCTTAGGCCAATTGGAATTAAAGAACACCATGACATGTCTTACTCAAGCCGTGTCTGTTTCCTTAACCCCATTGCTGAGAGTCAGGCTTCCTTGAAGGGAAAAAGGAAAAGGTCCCAGGAATGTCTCGTAAGTTCCCCATTGCCACCAATGGGCCAGATCTAGCCGCATTTTTCGGCTGCAGACCGAAAATGGCTATCTGGCTACCTGCCTGATTTCGGGAGGCATGGGTACGGTGGTCTACCAGAATCTGACCACCAGAAAGGGATTAAGGTTCAGCCAAAATTCACAAGCCTAGTTTTCATGGCTGGAATCACTGTGGTGTTGTGTGGTTTTCAGTCTGTATAGCCATGCTCTAGCAGCTTTTTCTTCTGATGTTTCACCTGCATCATATGCACCCCAGCAGATGTGGAGGGCAG